CCACCATCACTATAACATGCTTAACTACCACCATCGCTATAATATGTGTAACTACCACCATCGCTATAACATGCGTAACTACCACCATCGCTATAACACGTGTAACTACCACCATCGCTATAATTTGTGTAACTACCACCATCACTATAACATGCTTAACTACCACCATCGCTATAATATGTGTAACTACCACCATCGCTATAACATGCGTAACTACCACCATCGCTATAACACGTGTAACTACCACCAACGCTATAATTTGTGTAACTACCACCATCACTATAACATGCTATAACTACCACCAATCGCTATAATATGTGTAACTACCACCATCGCTATAACATGCGTAACTACCACCATCGCTATAACATGTGTAACTACCACCATCGCTATAATTTGTGTAACTACCACCATCACTATAACATGCTTAACTACCACCATCGCTATAATATGTGTAAGTACCACCATCGCTATAACATGCGTAACTACCACCATCGCTATAACATGCGTAACTACCACCATCGCTATAACATGCGTAGCTACCACCATAGCTATAACATGTGTAACTACCACCATCACTATAACATGCGTAACTACCACCATCGCTATAATATGTGTAACTACCACTATCACTATAACCACAACAACTACCATCATCACTATAACATGTGTAACTACCACCATCGCTATAATATGCGTAACTACCACCATCGCTATAACATGTGTAACTACCACCATCGCTATAACATGTGTAACTACCACCATCAATATAACCACAATACTACCATCATCACTATAACATGTGTAACTACCACCATCGCCGTAACATGTGTAACTACCACCATCACTATAACCACAATAGCTACCACAATCACTATAACATGTGTAACTACCACCATCGCTATATCATGTGTAACTACCACCATCGCTATAACATGCGTAACTACCACCATCACTATAACCACAACAACTACTATCATCACTCTAACAAGTGTAACTACCACCATCACTATAACATGCGTAACTACCACCACCGCTATAACATTTGTAACTACCACCATCACTATAACCACAACAACTACCACCATCACTTTAACATGTGTAACTACCACCATCGCTATAACATGTGTAACTACCACCATCACTATAACCAAAACAACTACCACCATCACTCTAACAAGGGTAACTACCACCATCACTATAACATGTGTAACTACCACCAACACTATAACATGTGTAACTACCACCAACACTATAACATGAGTAACTACCACCATCGCTATAACTTGTGTAACTACCACCATCAATATAACCACGACAACTACCACCATCACTCTAACATGAGTAACTACCACCATCGCTATAACATGTGTAACTACCACCATCGCTATAACACATGTAACTACCACCATCACTATAACCATAACAACTACCACCATCACTCTAACATGAGTAACTACCACCATCGCTATAACATGTGTAACTACCACCATCGCTATAACATCAACAACTACCACCATCACTCTAACATGAGTAACTACCACCATCACTATAACATGTGTAACTACCACCATCGCTATAACATCAACAACTACCACCATCGCGATAACATCAACTACCACCATCGCTATAACATCAACAACTACCACCATCGCTATAACATCAAAAACTACCACCATCGCTATGACATCAACAACTACCACCATTGCTACAACATCAACAACTACCACAATCGTTATAATATCAACTACCACCATCGCCATAATATATACAACTACCACCATCGCTATAAAATGTACAACTACCACCATCGCTATAACTTCAGCAACTACCACCATCGCTATAACATGAACAACTACCACAACCGCTATAACATGAACAACTACCACCATCGCTATAACATGAACAACTACCACCACCGCTATAACATGAACAACTACCACCATCGCTCTAACATGAACAACTACCACCATCGCTATAACATGTACAACTACCACCATCGCTATAACATCAACAACTACAACCATCGCTATAACATGAACAACTACTACCATCGCTATAACATGTACAACTACCACCATTGCTATAACATCAACAGCTACCACCATCCCAATAACATTAGCAACTACCACCATCGCTAAAACATCAGCAACTACCACCATAGCTATAACCATAACCACCACCATTGCTATAACCACAACAACTATTACCATCGCTATAACCACAACAAACTATCACCATCACTATACCCACAACAACTACCACCATCACTATAATCACAGCAACTACCACCATCGCTATAACCACAAAAGCTACCACCATCACTATAACCACAACAACTACCACCATCGCTATAACCACAAAAGCTACCACTATCACTATAACAAAAACAAACTACCACCATCACTATAACCACAACAGCTACCACCCTCGCTATAGCAAAAAAAAACTACTACCATCGCTATAACCACAACAACTACCACCATCGCTATAACCACAACAAAACACCAACACCATCGCTATAACCACTATACACTACCACCATAGCTTAACCACAACAACTACACCATCGCTATAACTAACAACAACCACCACCATCGCTATAAACCCAACTACCACCATCACTATAACCACAACAACTGCCACCATCCTATAACTACAACAACTACCACCATCTATAACCACAACAACTACCACCATCACTAATAACAACAACAACTACCACCATCAGCTATAACCACCAACATAACTACCAACCATCCTATAACTACAACAACTACCACCATCCTATAACACAACAACTACCACCACCTATACACTATAATCCACATACAACTAACCACCATCACTGTAACACAACAACTCACCACCATCACTATAACCACAACAACTACCACCATCACTATAACCACAACAACTACCACCATCACTATAACCACAACAACTACCACCATCACTATAACCACAACAGCTACCACCATCACTATAACACAACAACTACCACCATCACTATAACCACAACAACTACCACCATCACTATAACCACAACAAGCTACCACCATCACTATAACCACAACAACTACCACCATCACTATAACCACAACAACTACCACCATCACTAAACACACACTAACCAACCTCCTATAACCATCAACACTACCACCATCACTAAACACACACTACCACCATCACATATAACCACAACAACTACCACCATCACATAACCACAACAACTACCACCATCACTATAACCACAACAATTACCACCATCACAATAACCACAACAACTACCACCATCACAATAACCACAACAGCTACCACCATCACTATAACCACAACAACTACCACCATCACTATAACCACAACAACTACCACCATCACTATAACCACAACAGCTACCACCAACACTATAACCACAACAACTACCACCATCACAATAACCACAACAACTACCACCATCACAATAACCACAACAACTACCACCATCACAATAACCACAACAACTACCACCATCACAATAACCACAACAACTACCACCATCACAATAACCACAACAACTACCACCATCACAATAACCACAACAACTACCACCATCACAATAACCACAACAACTACCACCATCACAATAACCACAACAACTACCACCATCACAATAACCACAACAACTACCACCATCACAATAACCACAACAACTACCACCATCACAATAACCACAACAACTACCACCATCGCTATAACATCACAAATTCAACGATAACGTAATATTAACGAACTCAGCGTAAACTGGGATACAGTAAAGCGCTGTGATTTACGGATAACGATACCGCAAACAAGAGGTGCGTTCGCGGCGCTGCGACGCCGCGAATCCCACGGCAGACATAAGAAAATTGAAGGATATCGCAAAATGCCCGGATATCGCAAAATATTGTGTGTGTAGAGACTGGCGCATCGCGAACAGCTAAAGTATCGTAAATCACGCGTTACCGTAACTGTATTACGCTAAACGCAAGTGGATAGCGCGAATAACGCGATTGCGATCTCACCGCAAAATAGCGAAATGCTAAAACACGATAGCGCCGGCGAGGGCGATGTAGATATCGGCGATACCGTAAACAGCGCGAAATTAATGCGGTGTTGCCGCAAACAGCGAGAAATCAACGCGACTTTACCGCAAACAGCGCGAAATAGCGAATCCGTTAACGGTTTGTGTGAGAGATTCATTGAATCAGAGCGAATAACAACGGTACCGTTGATATCTGTTTATATCTGTTTATTATTGTTTATATCTGTGTTTCCGGTGCCAGCTGGCTGAGGGGAAGAGGTTTCCAGTACCAGCTGGTTGAGAGGAAGAGGTTTCCAGCACCAGCTGGTTGAGGAGAAGAGGTTTCCAGTACCAGCTGGTTGAGGAAAAGAGGTTTCCAGTACCAGCTGGTTGAGAGGAAGAGGTTTCCAGTACCAGCTGGTTGAGAGGAAGAGGTTTCCAGTACCAGCTGGTTGAGGGAAAGAGGTTTCCAGTACCAGCTGGTTGAGGGAAAGAGGTTTCCAGTATCAGCTGGTTGAGGGAAAGAGGTTTCCAGTACCAGCTGGTTGAGGGAAAGAGGTTTCCAGTACCAGCTGGTTGAGGAGAAGAGATTTCCAGTACCAGCTGGCTGAGGAGAAGAGGTTTCCAGTACCAGCTGGTTGAGGAGAAGAGGTTTCCAGCACCAGCTGGTTGAGGGAAAGAGGTTTCCAGTACCAGGCGGTTGAGGGGAAGAGGTTTCCAGTACCAGCTGGTTGAGGGGAAGAGGTTTCCAGTACCAGCTAATTGAGGGGAAGAGGTTTCCAGTACCAGCTGGTTGAGAGGAAGAGGTTTCCAGTACCAGCTGGTTAAGGGGAAGAGGTTTCCTGTACCAGCTGGTTGAGGGGAAGATACAATGTGTACTCGCCTATTTGTGGTTGCAGGGGTCGATTCATAGCTCCTGGTCCCATTTGTGTGTTTGTGTACAGATGAGAGCACTTACCTGGGCTGTGGGCGTCAGGGGGAGGGGCGTGGGCGTCGTGTCGAAGTCCTAGCATGGAGGGCATGCCGCCGCCCATGCTCATGGGCGTGACAGGGCCGCCCAGGCCGCCCATGCTCATCCCCGGCAGAAGGGCGTGGTTCATCCACACATGACGTGAGTCTGGGAAAAGTGGGTGTTGCTGATGGGCGGCGAGGGCGGCATGACGTGAATACAGCAGGTGGGGCGCCGCCCCCAGTGACCCACCCGCCCCTAGCGACGAGGTGGGCGGCGTGGGCGGGGAGTCAGACTGTGACCCCAGGCCCAGGAGCTCTTGGATAGCGAAGGGGGAGCGCTGGGGAAGCGTGGGCGCCGTCAGAGCGGTCATGTGGGCGTGGGCGTGCAGGGAAGGAGCGGTCACATGTACAGTGCCGCGGTCCATCATTGTGTGGGCGGGCGGGCGGTGCTTCACACTGCCGCCCACCTGCACCAGGCCGCCCACCAAGCCGCCCACAGCTCTCTACCACCCACAGGGAGACAAAACACCCAATATTAGTATGTACTATATATCTATAAACGTATATTAATATTACACTGTCTATTACACTGTCTATTACACTGTCTATTACACTATCTATTGCACTGTCTATTACACTGTCTATTACACTGTCTATTACACTGTCTATTACACTGTCTATTACACTGTCTATTACACTATTACACTGTCTATTACACTGTCTATTACACTGTCTATTACACTGTCTATTACACTATCTATTACACTGTCTATTACACTATTACACTGTCTATTACACTGTCTATTACACTATCTATTGCACTGTCTATTACACTGTCTATTACACTGTCTATTACACTGTCTATTACAATGTCTATTACACTGTCTATTACACTATTACACTGTCTATTACACTGTCTATTACACTGTCTATTACACTGTCTATTACACTATCTATTACACTGTCTATTACACTATTACACTGTCTATTACACTATTACACTGTCTATTACACTGTCTATTACACTATCTATTACACTGTCTATTACACTATTACACTGTCTATTACACTGTCTATTACACTATCTATTACACTGTCTATTACACTATTACACTGTCTATTACACTGTCTATTACACTGTCTATTACACTGTCTATTACACTGTCTATTACACTGTCTATTACACTGTCTATTACACTTTCTGAGAATTTATTAATAAGACACAGGTGTTACACCTGTGTCTTTATTAATCAATAAAGACACAGGTGTTACACCTGTGTCTTTATTAATCAATAAAGACACAGGTGCTACACATGTGTCTTTATTAATTTATTAATATTCACAAAAAAAATCCTTGAAAATAAAATTAAATATAGCAATTTTTTTTTCATTTATTGAATAAATTTCAAAATTTCTGAAAATTTTGAAAACTAAAGAAAAAAATTCGAGTATATTGTTATTTACGAACTTTTAAGATTTAGTTCAGTTTCTCCTTCAACTTTGTTTCTGGGCAGATAGATGGCTAGGTAGATGGCAGCTGGTTCTGGCAGCTGGTTCTGGCAGCTGGTTCTGGCAGGGGGTTCACCCTGGTAGGTAGTACTTCCTGGCAGGTGGTTCACCCTGATAGGTGGTCCTTCTTGGCAGGTGGTCCTTCCTGGCAGGTGGTCCTTCCTGGCAGGTGGTCCTTCCTGGCAGATGGCCCTTCCTGGCAGGTGGCCCTTCCTGGCAGGTGGCCCTTCCTGACAGGTGGTCCTTCCTGGCAGATGGCCCTTCCTGGCAGGTGGCCCTTCCTGGCAGGTGGTCCTTCCTGGCAGATGGCCCTTCCTGGCAGGTGGCCCTTCCTGACAGGTGGTCCTTCCTGGCAGATGGCCCTTCCTGGCAGGTGGTCCTTCCTGGCAGGTGGCCCTTCCTGACAGGTGGCCCTTCCTGGCAGATGGCCCTTCCTGGCAGGTGGCCCTTCCTGGCAGGTGGTCCTTCCTGACAGGTGGTCCTTCCTGACAGGTGGTCCTTCCTGGCAGGTGGCCCTTCCTGACAGGTGGCCCTTCCTGGCAGGTGGCCCTTCCTGACAGGTGGTCCTTCCTGGCAGCTGGTCCACCCTGGCAGCTGGTCCACCCTGGCAGCTGGTCCACCCTGGCAGCTGGTCCACCCTGGCAGCTGGTCCACCCTGGCAGCTGGTCCACCCTGGCAGCTGGTTCACCCTGGCACACTACATCTACCACACATAAAACCTCCGCAGTTTAACTTACCTTCGCCTTTGTTTACCCGCCAGACCAATGCCGTCTCCGCCGCCTCCGCCGCCGCCGCCGCCGCCGCCGCCGCCGCCAACCTACCTACCGGGGGAGAAAATATAAATTCCCCCCGCCCCCGCCGCCGCCGCCGCCGCCGCCGCAACAAGAACACTTCCAGAACTGCCTTCAAGAACCCTGCCGCCGCCGCTGCCGCTGCCTTCCTGAGCCCTCCCCCCCGGGGGGGCCGCCGGAACTTCACTAATTAACCGGTCCAAGTTAACCGGGGTTGGTAGGGGGGTAAAGAAGGGGAAGGGGGGTTTTTTAACACGGTGCGGCGGAGGTTAACAATGGTAGCAAGAAGGGATCACAGAGGGTGTGGAGGCCGCCTGGGCTTAACAGCGTGTAGAACACATATAAAATGGCAGTTTGAGACACCGTGTGTTGTCAGTCGGCGCGCCTGCGCACTCCCCCGCGGGCGGCACTGCGGTGCCACATGCCTCCAGGCGCCTAGTCTATTCCCTCATTAAACTCCCTCGCGTTAACCCGGGTAAGGTCAAAATGATGCTTAAGATAAACCTGGACTTTAAGCTTGGTTTATCTGCATCACTGGCGTTAATTCGGTTGGTTAATGATTAATTTATTAATTAATAGGTGGGTAATTTGGCAAGACGGCTCCTCGGAGGAGGAGAGCGAGGGTTGTGATTGGTGGGAAAGGCCGCCCGTTGGCCACGCCTCCCAGACCACCTGGCCAATGAAACGGGTAGCACCGCTCCCCTCCGGAGGATGTTGGCGGCCAATCAGAGGGCAGGGATCTTGATTGAGCGGGGTGGAGGCTCCATGTTGTCCCCGCCCACTCAGCTCTTGTCAGTGGTGACGTGCGGCCCGCGCCGCCAACACCCACTTACCGCCCATCCATACCATATGTCAGCATTTTTCATGGGGGAGGAAGGGGGAGAGAGGGGAAGGGGGAGGAAGAGTAGGGGGAAATTTGCATTCCTTTGATCTCAATGTAAATATGGAGGATCTGTTCCCCTGCCCCCCTCCCCCACCATAAAAATATACACGTCCCCCCTCTCCCTGTCTTCCCTTCCCCCTCCTCCATTCCAGGGGTTCGATTCCCCTTCAGGCCCAAGAAATGTTGAGCAGTCATTGAGGGTAAACCACACACACACACACACACACACCACACACACCACACAACACACACACACAACACACACACACACACACACACAACACACACACACACACACACACAACACACACACACACACACAACACACACAACACACACACACACACACACACCACACACACACACACTACACACACAACACACACACACACACACCACACACACACAAACACAAACAACCAACACACACACACACACACACACACACACACACACACACACGCACCACACACACACAAACAACACACACACACACAACACACAACACACATACACACACACACACACACACACACACACACCACACACACACAAACACAAACATACACACACACACACACAAACACACACACACACATACACACACACAAACACAAACACAACAACACACACACACACAAACAACACACACAAACACAAAACACACAACACACACACAAACACAAAACACACAAATAACCACAAACACAAACACAAACACAAACAGCACACCACACACACACAAACACACACACAAACACAAACACAACAAACACACACCAAACACAGACACACACACACAAACACACACACAAACACAAACACACAAACACACAAACACAAACACACACACACACACAAACACAAACACACAAATACACAAACACAAACACAAACACAAACAGACACACACACACACAAACACACACACAAACACAAACACACATAAACACACACACAAACACAGACAACACACACACAAACACACACACACACACAACACACACAAAACACAAACAGACACACACACACACAAACACACACACAAACACAAACACACACAAACACACACACAAAACAGACACACACACACAAACACACACACAAACACAAACACACAAACACACAAACAACAACACACACACACACACAAACACAAACACACAAATACACAAACACAAACACAAACACAAACAGACACAACACACACACACAACACACACACCAAACACAAACAAACACACACACACACACAAGACACTGACTCACGCCACTACACATCACACATACACTAAACACACCAAACACACAAACAGCAAACAGCCAAACAACTTATTTATCAACACATTATCGGACTCGGTGTAAACTAGAAAGAATCACAAGTAAATTAAGGTGATCTGGTCTCCGTCTTCACTTACACTATTAACATTTAAACCACTTGCATAATTACAGGTGCTAAGCAGGTGTTAAACAGTGTTAAACAGAAGCTTTAGGTGTTAAACAGAAGCTACAGGTGTTAAACAGAAGCTGCAAGTGTAAAACAGTTGCTACATGTGTTAAACAGATGATACAGATGTTAAACAGAAGCTACAGATGTTAAACAGAAGCTACAGGTGTTAAACAGAAGCTGCATATGTTAAACAGATGCTACAGGTGTTAAACAGAAGCTGCATGTGTTAAACAGAAGCTACAAATGTTAAACAGAAGCTGCATGTGTTAAACAGAAGCTACAGGTGTTAAACAGATGCTACACGTGTTAAACAGAAGCTACAGATGTTAAACAGAAGCTACAGATGTTAAACAGAAGCTACAGGTGTTAAACAGATGCTACACGTGTTAAACAGAAGCTACAGATGTTAGACAGAAGCTACAGATGTTAGACAGAAGCTACAGATGTTAAACAGAAGCTACAGATGTTAGACAGAAGCTGCAGATGTTAAACAGAAGCTACAGGTGTTAAACAGATGCTACAGGTGTTAAACAGATGTTACATGTATTAAGCAGATGCTGCAGGTGTTAAACAGATGATACAGGTGTTAAACAGATGTTACATGTGTTAAACAGATGCTACAGGTGTTAAACAGATGTTACAGGTATTAAGCAGATGCTACAGGTGTTACACAGATGCTACAGGTGTTAAACAGATGCTACAGGTGTTAAACAGATGTTATATGTATTAAACAGATGCTACAGGTGTTAAACATATGATACAGGTGTTAAACAGAAGCTTCAGGTCTTAAACAGAAGCTACAGATGTTAGACAGAAGCTACAGATGTTAAACAGAAGCTACAGGTGTTAAACAGATGCTACAGGTGTTAAACAGATGTTTCATGTATTAAACAGATGCTACAGGTGTTAAACAGATGCTACAGTTGTTAAACAGATGTTACATGTGTTAATCATATGCTACAGGTGTTAAACAGATGTTACAGGTGTTAAGCAGATGCTACAGGTGTTAAACAGATGCTACAGGTGATAAACAGATGCTACAGGTGTTAAACAGATGCTACAGGTGTTAAACAGATGTTACATGTATTGAACAGATGCCTCAGGTGTTAAACAGATGTTACAGGTGTTAAACAGATGATACAGGTGTTCAACAGATGCTACAGGTGTTAAACAGATGCTACAGGTGTTAAACAGATGCTACAGGTGTTAAACAGATGCTACAGGTGTTAAACAGATGTTACATGTATTAAACAGATGCTACAGGTGTTAAACAGATGTTACAGGTGTTAAACAGAAGCTACAGGTATTCAACAGATGCTACAGGTGTTAAACAGATGCTACAGGTGTTAAACAGATGCTACAGGTGTTAAACAGATGCTACAGGTGTTAAACAGATGCTACAGGTGTTAAACAGATGCTACAGGTGTTAAACAGATGTTACATGTATTAAACAGATGCTACAGGTGTTAAACAGATGTTACAGGTGTTAAGCAGATGCTACAGGTGTTCAACAAGTGAAGGAGAATAAGCTAGGCCGGCCAGTGCGTTCTCAGCGCATTTGCAAGATTGTGATCATAAGAGGTGAGGGAGCGGTCTGGGACCCAGCAAGAGGTCCCACGAGGACCAGGTCTTCTCCATCTGATATACACACTACATAAATCAAGTATATACATCACATAAATCATATATACGTTGCTGTAACACACGTTTCTTAGGTCGAATATTCACACACTAAATTTATATATATTTATATATATAATATATATATATATATATATATATATATATATATATATATATATATATATATATTATTATATAATATATATATATATATATATATATATATATATATATATATATATATATATATAATATATATATATATATATATTATTTTATTATCACACTGGCCGATTCCCACCAAGGCAGGGTGGCCCGATAAAGAAAAACTTTCACCATCATTCACTCCATCACTGTCTTGCCAGAAGGGTGCTTTACACTACAGTTTTTAAACTGCAACATTAACACCCCTCCTTCAGAGTGCAGGCACTGTACTTCCCATCTCCAGGACTCAAGTCCGGCCTGCCGGTTTCCCTGAACCCCTTCATAAATGTTACTTTGCTCACACTCCAACAGCACGTCAAGTATTAAAAACCATTTGTCTCCATTCACTCCTATCAAACACGCTCACGCATGCCTGCTGGAAGTCCAAGCCCCTCGCACACAAAACCTCCTTTACCCCCTCCCTCCAACCTTTCCTAGGCCAACCCATACCCCGCCTTCCTTCCACAACAGACTGATACACTCTTGAAGTCATTCTGTTTCGCTCCATTCTCTCTACATGTCCGAACCACCTCAACAACCCTTCCTCAGCCCTCTGGGCAACAGTTTTGGTAATCCCGCACCTCCTCCTAACTTCCAAACTACGAATTCTCTGCATTATATTCACACCACACATTGCACTCAGACATGACATCTCCACTGCCTCCAGCCTTCTCCTCGCTGCAACATTCATCACCCACGCTTCACACCCATATAAGAGCGTTGGTAAAACTATACTCTCATACATTCCCCTCTTTGCCTCCAAGGACAAAGTTCTTTGTCTCCACAGACTCCTAAGTGCACCACTCACTCTTTTTCCCTCATCAATTCTATGATTCACCTCATCTTTCATAGACCCATCCGCTGACACGTCCACTCCCAAATATCTGAATACATTCACCTCCTCCATACTCTCTCCCTCCAATCTGATATCCAATCTTTCATCACCTAATCTTTTTGTTATCCTCATAACCTTACTCTTTCCTGTATTCACTTTTAATTTTCTTCTTTTGCACACCCTACCAAATTCATCCACCAATCTCTGCAACTTCTCTTCAGAATCTCCCAAGAGCACAGTGTCATCAGCAAAGAGCAACTGTGACAACTCCCACTTTATGTGTGATTCTTTATCTTTTAACTCCACACCTCTTGCCAACTCCCCAGCATTCATTTACACACAC